GCCCCCCAATCCCCCCCCCAACGTTGCAGGGCCAATTTAACCCAAGGGCTTTTATTTGCACAAACTCGGTAGACACCCATAAGAAGATGTTTCATGCTAAACATCTAAGCTCTAGCTCATTGGGCTTTATTGAAAGAAGATTTTTTTAAAGTTTTTACTATACACATATAGTTAAAACAATGACACCCCTGGGACCGGGCCAGTTTTGACCCCAGGGCTTTTATTTGAACAAACTTTGTAGACACTTACTAGAAGATGTTTCATGCTTAATATCTAAACTCTAGCTATTTGGGTTTTTTCAAAGAAGATTTTTAAGTTTTTGCTATACACATATAAAGAAAATCAATGACCCCCGGGGCGGGGCCAATTTTGACCCCAGGTCTTTTATTTGAACAAACTTTGTAGACACTCACTAAAAGATGTTTCATGCTTAATATCTTAACTCTAGCTATTTGGGTTTTTTCAAAGAAATTTTTTTAAGTTTTTGCTATACACATATAAGGAAAATCAATGACCCCCGGGGCGGTGCCAATTTTGACCCCAGGGCTTTTATTTGAACAAACTTGGTAGACACCTATTAGAACAAGTTTGATGCTAAATATCTTAGCCATAGCTCTTTGAGTTCTTTTAAAGAAGATTTTTTAAGTTTTTACTATATGATTATAGGGAAAATCAATGATCCCCCGGGGCGGGGCCAATTTTGACCCCAGGGCTTTTATTTGAACAAACTTGGTAGACACTTATTAGAACATGTTTCATGCTAAATATCTTAGCTCTAGCTCTTTTGATTCTTTAAAAGAAGATTTCTTAAGTTTTTACTGTATGCATATAGGGAAAATCAATGACCCCCCGGGGTGGGGCCAATTTTGACCCCAGGGCTTTTATTTGAACAAACTTGGTAGACACCTATTAGAACATGTTTCATGCTAAAAATCTTAGCTCTAGCTTTTTTGGTTCTTTAAAAGAAGATTTTTTAAGTTTTTACTATATGCATATAGGGAAAATGAATGACCCCCCGGGGCGGGCCAATTTTGACCCCAGGGCTTTTATTTGAACAAACTTGGTAGACACTTATTAGAACATGTTTCATGCTAAATATCTTAGCTTTAACTCTTTTGTTTCTTTAAAAGAAGATTTTTTAAGTTTTTACTTTATGCATATAGGGAAAATGAATGACCCCCCGGGGCGGGGCCAATTTTGACCCTAGGGCTTTTATTTGAACAAACTTGGTAGACACCCATTAGAACATGTTTCATGCTAAATATCTTAGGTGTAGCTCTTTTGGTTCTTTAAAAAAAGATTTTTTAAGTTTTTACTATATGTATATAGGGAAAATGAATGACCCCCCCCCCCCCGGCGGGGCCAATTTTGACCCCAGGGCTTTTATTTGAACAAACTTGGTAGACACTCACTAGAAGATGTTTTATGCCAAATATCTAAGCTCTAGCTCTTATGGTTTTTTAAAAGAAGATATTTAAAGTTTTTTCTTTCGGTTGCTATGGCAACCAGAGTTCTGCATGGAATTAAATTCTTTGAACAATTTTTAAAGGTGACCACCAAAGGAACATTCCTGTGAAGTTTGGATGAAATTGACTTAGTGGTTTATGAGGAGATGTCATTTAAAGTAAAAGTTTACGGGCGGACGGCGGACGGACGGACGACGGACGGACGACGGACGGACGGCGGAAGAAAAGCGATCACAAAAGCTCACCCTATCACTATGTGACAGGTGAGCTAAAAACAAACAAACAACAACAACTGTGGTCATTTAAACACAGTGATTAAGAGGTTTTCATGTCTTTTTAAAAGGTATATTAGAAGAATTCAATTTACTTTGTGAAAATAAAATTATTGCAAGTCTCAAAACAAAAGATATTGTATGTAAAATATTTAAACTCTTTATAATTCTACATCGTCTGCATTTATGTGTATGTAAAACTACTTGTTAAATGATGTCATAACAACTCTGAATGTTGCATTAGCTCAGTGGTAACATGGGAGACTCTCACCCAGGAGATTTGAGTTCAAACGTTGAACATGAACTCTTTTTTTTTCATTCTCTTTTTCATAATTAATAAAATAGATAGTGTTTTTTTCAGTAAATAATATGTTATTTCATTAATGTATTTATTCCTTCAGATTTTTAGCATTTTAAGTCAGTGCTGTTTCATAGTTATTAAGGTATTAAAGATTTGTTAGACATTTAATTGCTTAAAAGTTCAGCAAGAAGTTTTAAATCTTATTAATTTAGTATAATTCTCCTTAAAAATATCCACAAGAAAATTGCCAAAGCAGGAAATATGTTGTCTTTTTTCACAAATGATCCTTTTATTTGTCCATGAAATTGTAGAGCAGCCATAACTACATGAATTGGATTATCTACATGAATGACAACATTAATGCGTAATTTCTGCCTTTTTGTGGCTGGTGCACATGTAGTTTGAATGTGTTCCCATGTCTCTACCGTTACATGGTAGCTCGCATTAGGACACCATGAGGAGTGGTGAGACTTTTATTTCTAAATATCCGAATTTGGAATATCCGAAACGAGCCCAATTTATCTTTTATATTAGTTTTGTGACACAATAGTCTAATTCTAACTAAACTATAATTTTGTTTAAAATTTATAAGAAATATATTGCTATCTTATGAGTTTAATTCAGTCAAACACACAACTTTATTAGTCTTGTATGAAAATTGTCATCAAATTTGTGATATAATTGAATTAAACAGGTGCTCTAATTATGACGCCATTATGTCGTCATAGTAACCAGACATGCCTAATAAATTTCTGTTTTGAAAATGTAACACATTGTGCTATACACCTTTAGGTTTTTATCAATATCTAAGATGGGGCCATTTTTGGTGCTTAGTGAACCTTGCTCTTTTATGAATCATGTAGTCCTTTTAAATGACAGCCAATTTGTTATATTACATTAGACCTTGAAATGTGTATACCAAAAGCATTTTTAGTTGATGAAAAATATGAACCAAGGCAACTTGAGTTGCTGAGTTATTGGTCGGAGACCGTCTCTACTTACAAGGTCAATGTAACTTTGAACTTTGACCCTTATCAATAGGGTTTATCTACTGGCCAAGAACAATAAACCTGTGAAGATTGAAGGTAAATGACCCATGAGTTGTTGAGATATTGATCAGAAAGTGATTTTACCTATAAGGTCAATATTATCTTGACCTCTAATCCCTTGACCCCAAAAATCCATTGAGGTCATCTTCTAACCAAAAGCAATGCATCTGTGAGGTTGGAAGGTCCACGGTTCATGGGTTGTCCAGTTATTGATAGGAAATCATTTAGACATACAAGTTTTTCCTTTCGGTTGCCATGGCAACCAGATTTCTCTTTGGAATTAAATTCTTTGGACAATTGAAGTTGACTACCAAAGGAACATTCCTGTAAAGTTTGGATGAAATTGGCTTATAGGGTGTATGAGGAGATGTCGTTTAAAGTAAAAGTTTACGAACCGACGCCAGACAACAGACGGACGCCAGACGAAAAGCTATCACAAAAGCTCACCATGTCACTTTGTAACAGGTGAGCTAAAAACAAACTTTCAGACCAATTTCCAGGAAATTTGGATGAAAACAGAAGCCACTAGAGTGCAAACAATATTTTTTCTATATTTAGCTCCTGTGACCTTGTTTTTCATTCCAAATGACCCATGTTTGACCCGGGTCACCCCATCTGAGCAATTACCTTGACAAGCATCCTGACCAAATTTGCTGACAAATGAGTTTAAAATGTGACCACTAGAGTCTTAACAAGGTTTTTCCATATCTGGGCTTTGTGACCTAGTTTTTGACCCTAGGTGACCCATATTCAAACTTGATTTAGAAATCAGCAAAACAAACTTTCAGACCAGTTTCCAGGATATTTGGATCAAAACAGTTGCAACCAGAGTGTTAACAATATTTTTCTATTTTTAGCTCCTGTGACATAGTTTTTCATCCAAGATGACCCATGTTCGAAATCCTCCAAGCAATTACATAGACATGCATCCTGACCAAGTTTTGTGACAATTGAGTAAAAAATGTGACCACAAGATTGTTAACAAGGATTTTCCATATTTGAGCAGTGTGACCTAGTTTTTGGCCCCAGCTGACACATATCCGAACTTGACCTAGAAATCATCAAAACAAATTTCAGACCAATTGACAGGATATTTGGATCAAAACAGTAGCCACAAGAGTGTTAACAAGATTTTTCTATTTTTAGCTCCTGTGACCTTGTTTTTCATTCCAAATGACCCATGTTTGAACTTATCTAAGGGATTACCTTGGCAAGCATCCTGACAATGTTTGATGACAATTGAGTAAAAAATGTGACCACAAGAGTGTTTACAAGATTTTTTCATATTTGGGAGCTAGTGTGACCTAGTTTTTGACCACAGGCGACCCATATTCAAACTTGATCTATAAATCATCAAAACAAAGTTTAACTTTCAGACAAATTTCCAGGATATTTGGATCAAAACAGTAGCCACTAGAGTGTTAACAGGATTTTTCTATTTCAGCTTCTGTGACCTAAGTTTTCATCCGAGATAACCCATGCTCGAACACATCTGAGCAATTACTTAGACAAGCATCCTGACCAAGTATGATGACAATTAAGTAAAAAATGTGGACCACTACAGTGTTAACAAGGTTTCTCTATTTTCAGCTCCTGTGACCTAGTTTTTCATCCAATGACCAATGTTCAAACTCATCTGAGCTTTTACCTAGACAAGCATCCTGACATAGTTTAATGATTGAGGCAAAAATGTGACTGCTAGAGTGTTAACGAACAAATGTGGACCGACGACAGACATTCAACGATTCTAATTGCTCACCCTGGTGAGCTAAAGATAAACATCACAAAAATAATTTTTTATGATTTTTTTTCCCCAAACTTCCAAATATTTTTTGGCCATTTGCAGAATTGGCATAATTGCAGCCGAAACCCTGCTTTATCATATTCTGCTGAAAAGGAAAAAAATACTTACGAAATCAACAAATGCCTTATATTTATCTGACCAACATCTAGTATCTGAGTAATAAATCTTCCGCAAAGATTCAAAAAGCATTTGTATTCTACAGAGGATGTTTGAAAAGCCCACTTTGTCCAAATCAGAGAGTTGTGGACAAAACACATGGATAGCTTTCTCTGCATGTTTTTTAAAATCTCCTTTAAAAGAAAACACCTCTTTCATTTTACCCACAGAAACATAGTCAGGTTCTCTTTCAGCAAACCCATCATACTGGTGCCATTCACCTGAAAAACATAAGTAAAATTTGCAGGTTGAGATACTGATAAATATCTATCAATAAAAGAGCATTAATCCTGTCATATGTAACAAGAGCCACCGCCAGGCCGGGCAAAACTCATCTTTTTTTAATTTTTTCTAAATGCGAACAAGTAAAGGTTTAAACAAACATTTCAAAAGAAATTTAATGAGAAAAAAAATAAGGTTTACCTTTATGGGTTTGATATGACTATAAAGTGGAAGGAAAAGCATCCTGTTCATAAAGTCTTGAAGTTTAGAGAAAATAAGGCATTGCTTTCAGTGTCTTAGAATCCTTTAAAAAACAACCTATTGCAACTATTTGTGATACATTTTAAAACAAAGCAGTTAATCTGTTTTATTACTTAAATCCTAATTATTTTCATAAAAAAACATACAATGTGCCTGTTTTGCTAAAATGTATGTCCGCTGTGCCTGTAGCGCCAAAAATTCTCTGTTGCGTATTTAAATCAAAGCTACTTTAAGAGTTCTCTGCCCTTCACTTTACACTTGACTTAAAACTTGGCGCAGTTGCTTTATAATATTCAATCATGTCGGGTTTGAGTTTATTGAAATTGAAATAAAATTAATCTGTATTGGTTACAATAGCTAAAATGATAATGTATATAAGATGAATAAATCCACAAGCAAAGCCCAAGGTGCATAAGTACACATGCTGACCAACATTCTTGTAAACTTTCAGGCCTACAAGTGAAATGCTTTTTGAGCTATGCAAGACAAGTTGAAAATTGCAAATTTATACTACTGTAAGTCAAGGGCAATAACTCTAACAAAACTGGAAAAAATCCACATGCAAAGTCCCAGGTTCATAGCTTCACAGTGATGTGAATCATTATTCCTGTAATTTAGTGATGTTGATCATTATTCCTGTAAAGTTGGTTGATTCTAACTCAAGCACTCAAGGAACAAATAACAACATAATGAAACGGTTTTTACTAAGTCAAGGGAAATAACTCTACAAATACTGGATAAATCCACAAGCGAAACCCAAGGTGCAAAACTAGCAAAACTAAATATGCTGAGCAACCTTACGTAAAGGTTTAATGACTCTATGTCAAATCCTTTTTGAGTTACATGCGACACAAGTTGAAAATTGCAAAATTTTACTAAGTCAAGGGCAATAACTCTAAAAATACTAAAAATATCCAGACCAAAATACCCAGGTGCACAACTACACATGCTGATCAACATTCCTGTAAATTTTCATGACTCTAGGTCAAATACTTTTTGAGTTAAGTGCGACACAAAAGAGAACGGACGGACGGACAGAAGGACATGCCACTTTAAAATGGACTAAGGGGCCATTTCTTTTGTTATTTTCTTTTGTTTAATAGAGGGCCATGGCCCCTTATTCTATTGTTACGGAATGAACACTATTGTTCTCTTTTGTTCTTTTTACAGTTAGATGGCCCCCTATCCCTATTTGGTTGCTCGGACGGACGGACGATGGACGGACGCACGGACAAGGGTAAAATTTAAATTAATTGCCGGCCACAAAATGGGGGCACAAAAATCTAACTAAAAGATATTTATTTCAAAGCACAAACAATAAACTTTACAACACTTGAAGACAACTATTTTGTGTTGCCTATTTTAAGACAAGAGGGCCATGATGGCCCAAAGTCGCTCACCTGTATATAGGCCCCTGGAGCGGGGCCAGTTTTAACCCCAGGGCTTTTATTTTGAACAAACTTGGTTGTATATGTATGTATATATATATATATATATAATATATATATATATATATATATATATATATATATATATATATATATATATATATATATGTATGTATATATATATATTTATATATATATATATATTATATATATATATGCATATATATATATATATATATATTTATGGATTTATATTCAATCAACACATTGAAAAACACATTTTCCTTTACTAATTAGTTTCATGCGCAAAACGCAATCTTCAGAAGTGTAAATGGTAGTTCTCAATAAAGGGACGTAACTATGAAGTGTAAATGGTGGTTTCTCAATAAAGGGGCGTAACTATATTAATACTGTTCATTTTTTAAAGTTGCTTAATAGATATTTCCTGGAATGTCTGCAGGTTGATACAAGTTCGTTTCTTTTGTTAAGTTTAGCGTTTTCTTGTTTGCAGATAATGTAGAATTTCTCCCATAGGCACAAGTTGCATCAGTCGGAGGCTGGGTTGTAGGGTGAGGCTTGTTTTAAGATATTCCATGTTATGTTAAAGTCGATGTTTTCCTCTTTGAGTTTCCAGATATATTTACTTAATTCAGTGCTGTTTTTAAGCTTAGGATTAATAGCTCAGAAAATACCTTTAAAACCCGATTTACAAACCACAAAGCATCATTTAGAAATCCTAAGCTTAAAAACAGCACTGAATTAAGTAAATATTGATTGAATATAAATCCATACATACAGCTCTGGGATACCATCGAGCACTCTGTCTGGGGTTTGTACACTGACTTTTAGTGTTATTGGATTTATATATATATTTTATATAAATATTAAATATATATGTGTATATATATAATATGTATATATCTAAAAAAAAAAAAGTCAAGCTAATGAATGACCCCCGGGGCGGGGCCAATTTTGACCCCAGGGCTTTTATATTGAACAACTTGGTAGACACCCATGAGAACATGTTTCATGCTAAATATCTTAGCTCTAGCTCTTTGAGTTCTTTAAAAAGAATTTTTTAAGTTTTTACTATATGCACATAGGGAAAATCAATGACCCCGGGGCGGGGCCATTTTGACCCTAGGGCTTTTATTTGAACAAACTTTGTAGACACTCATTAGAAGATGTTTCATGCTAAATATCTTAGCTCTAGCTCTTTGGGTTCTTTAAAAGAAGATTTTTTAAGTTTTAACTATATGCATATAGGGAAAATCAAAGACACCCTGGGGCGGGGCCAATTTTTGACCCTAGGGCTTTTATTTGAACAAACTTGGTAGAAACTCACTAGAAGATGTTTCATGCTTTATATCTAAACACTAGCTATCTGGTTTTTTCAAAAGAAGATTTTTAAGTTTTTAGTATACACAATCATATAAGGAAATCAATGACCCCGGGCGGGGCCAATTTTGACCCTAGGGCTTTGATTTGAACAAACTTTGTAGACACTCACTAGAAGAAGTTTCATGCTTAATAGCTAAACTCCAGCTATTTGGGTTTTTTAAAGAAGATTTTTTAAGTTTTTGCTATACACATATAAGGAAAATCAATGACCCCCGGGGCGGAGCCAATTTTGACCCAGGGCTTTTATTTGAACAAACTTGGTAGACACCTATTAGAACATGTTTCATGCTAAATATCTTAGCTCTAGCTCTTTGAGTTCTTTAAAAGAAGATTTTTTAAGTTTTTACTATATGCATATAGGGAAAATCAATGACCCCCTGGGGCGGGGCCAATTTTGACCCTAGGGCTTTGATTTGAACAAACTTGGTAGGCACTCATTAGAAGATGTTTCATGCCAAATATCTAAGCTCTAGCTCTTACGGTTTTTTAGAAGAAGATTTTTTAAGTTTTTCTTATTGGTTGCCATGGCAACCAGAGTTTTTAATGGAATTTAAATTTTTGAACAACTTTGAAAGGGGTCCACCTAAGGATCATTTCTGTAAAGTTTGGTTGCAATTGGCCATGTAGTTTAGGAGGAGATGTTGTTTGAAAAGTTTGACGCCATTTTTTGAAGGACGCACGACGCACGACGCACGCAGAGTGATGACAAAAGCTCACCTTTGAGCACTTCGTGCTCAGGTGAGCTAAAAAAGTGAACTCTTTGCCATAAAGATTATCCAGTAACTAGATGGCAGTTAATAATGCAAAACCAAAAGAATTCCATTAATCTGACCTTGACAGTCAAGGTCAATGAAAAATTTAAGTCAAATCTACAATATTCAATATATTTGTTTGGTAGCAAGTCTTGTTTTGTTCAAGTATACATCAAATTCGTATACAGTCAAACGTGTATTAAGCAACCGGCAAGGGAAACACCAAAAACGGTCGCTTAATGAAACGGTCTCTTAAGACAGTCAGCGTGATATTAAAGTCAAAATTTATAAATGACATCTTTTTTATTCGATGGGATTGTTTTTCAACTTCATTTTTATATAAATGTTGAATAATAAGTACGCTCCGAAAATCTAAACGGATGCAAATGTAAAAACAAGAGGGCCATGATGGCCCTGAGGTCGCTCACCTGTATATAGCCCCCCCCTCCCCCCGGGCAAATGTTTACCCAAGGGCTTTTATTTGTTTATTTGAACAAACTTGGTAGATACCCATAAGAAGATGTTTCATGCTAAACATCTAAGTTCTAGCTCATTGGGTTTTTTAAAAGAAGATTTTTTAAGTTTTTACTATACACATATAGTTAAAATCAATGACACCCCTGGGGCAGGGCCAGTTTTGACCCCCGGGCTTTTATTTGAACAAACTTTGTAGATATTTACTTAAAGATGTTTTATGCTTAATATCTAAACTCTAGCTATTTGGGTTTTTTCAAAGAAGATTTTTAAGTTTTTGCTATACACATATAGGGAAAATCAATGACCCCCTGGGGCGGGGCCAATTTTGACCCCAGAGCTTTTATTTGAACAAACTTGGTAGACACTCACTAGAAGATGTTTCATGCTACATATCTTAGCTCTAGCTCTTTGGGTTCTTTAAAAGAAGATTTTTTAAGTTTTTACTATATGCATGTAGAGAAAATCAATGACCCCCTGGGGCGGGGCCAATTTTGACCCAAGGGCTTTTATTTCAACAAACTTGATAGACATTCACTAGAAGATGTTTCATGCCAAATATCTAAGCTCTAGCTCTTACAGTTTTTTAAAAGAAGATTTTTTAAGTTTTTACTATATGCATATAGGGAAAATCAATGACCCCCTGGGGCGGGGCCAATTTTGACCCCAGGGCTTTTATTTGAACAAACTTGGTAGACACTCACTAGAAGATGTTTCATGCCA